ACCCTGCAGTTGTGACCCCTCTGTCCCTCTTCTGTGCTGTGTCCCTCGGTTGTATGTCACTGTGCGATCGGAAAGGCAGCCTCTCACCCTGCCCCACTGAAGGCTTTCTGTGGCCTGCTCACGGCATGCTCGCCCCAAGAGCGTTTCTGTTCTAGGCCGACCTCGCTCACCGGCCAGTCTCCATCGCATTGGGTGTGTGGACTGTGGCAATGCACCACTGCACTGTGCCCGCAGAAAGCATGCCACCAAGACACTGCATCGTCACATCAAGCTGTGGCACTGCGTTCCTGCAGTGAGCGTCTGCACTGCACGGGGGGTTGGACTCGAGTTTCTGCACACGGCACTGTACCCACACAGCGTGCCTCTGCCCAGCAGCACTTCTGTCCCGCTGCTTCACTGCACCTCACTGCACCTGTGCCTCCTCCTGGCCCAGCCCTCCCCGTCACACTCTCCTGCCATAATGCTGCCCCCAGGAGATCTCGCTCTTGCTTCTTGCTTCCGGTGCAGCCCCGGTTGATCAGCCTCTTCACATCTTGCATCACAGGTTAAACCTCTGCCCCCTTTCTTCAAACTTCCCCTCCCTGCCACTGCACACGGCCCCTGGCGTCCTTCCCTACTCTGCAGTTTTGGGGCTACTTTGTCTGGGCGTCGGGACTGGGTTTGCAGGTGGCGTCTTTGCACAGGACCCAACATTGCGTCTGTGCACTGCACGGGGTCACTGCGCTGGGCCTCAGCCTGCCCGGGACCTGCTCACCATTGGGTTGCGCGTCTTGACTGGGTTCAGGACCAGCCCTTGCTCTCAGCTCACTGTTCTGCAGTCATCTGTACTGCTGCCCTTTCTGTCACTTTCCCCAGTGCCCGCCAGCCTGCCTTTCTGCTGCTCCTGGGGACTGTGTTGAGCTTGTATTCTGGACTGGCTTCCCACCCAGCAGTTCCTCTGCCCTGCACCACAGCCTCCTCTCCCCTGGGCCTCCGCCCTGTCCACATGCCTCCGCAGCACCATCCTTCTAGTAAGAATTCATGAGGCGTCAGCACTGTGCTGTGCCTGGCCCTGAGCTAGTGTCTGGAGGGGGAGAAGAACTGGTGAGGCTTGAACTGACCAGCATAGCGTTCCGCCATCCACCCACAGGTAGCACCGAGCCCAGCCCTTGGGCCCCTAAATGTACTGTGCTGGATCTCTGTGCCTCCATGCGGCTGTGGTCATACCCAGAAGGGTGTCCTGGCCTGACCCATTCGCTGTGCCATGCCTGTGTCTGCTCTGGGGTCTGTAAGCGCTTGGGCTCTGCTCTGGGTTGTAGAGTGGAACTGATGTTGCACAGCACACCACACTGGGCCTCTGCATACCCCTTGCTCCGTGGGACCTTGATTCTGCACAGCTCTGCCCTACAACCAGCCCTTTGCCTTGGGAGGGGGTGGGCACCACCCTATACTTTCTTCTTCTATTGCCAATATGGCAGCCCTACTGTTAACCTTGAGGTGAGCAGTGCAGGTTGATCGGGGGCTGAGGAGTGGGTCTGGCCTGTTTCTCCAGCTAGACCTGGCTTCTTTCCACCCTCAGTGGAGATGGCAGGCTGTTGGCACTGCCAGGCTCTGTGTTGGCTCTTTTGGCACCTGGGGGTACAGCTCAGCTTTTTCTCCCTGTGGCCTGACCCTGGGTGAGCTTCCTGGTGGCAGCTCTGCAGAACCCTGGGTGATTTGAGTTTGGCCATGTTGCTGCCAGCCCTGTCTTCAATGAATTGCTCATCAATTTTTCAGGGCCATAAAGGGTAGCACCAGAGAGCCCTGGCCTGGTCCGATATGTGCATCTGGCTCAGAGTGTGAGGTGGACTGGAATCCTGTCCTGGAGTCTGGGTGGGTGGGCCTCAGCCAGGCTGGCTGGGTCCTGGGGTCAGTATGCCCAGCCACTGTTGGCCACTTGCTATACACGGGCTGGGGACAGTCCCTCATCTTGGGGAGGGAGGAGCTGGGGATTTGAGGGCCTGAGGTGGAGCTGTAGTTGGGGTGGAGAATGTGGGCTAGGGTTGGGTTGGGCAAGAAGGACTATGGGTGAGTTAATGTTGGCTTTGGGGTTGGCTTCTGCTATCTAGGATTGGGGCATGGCTTTGGCTGGTGAAATAGTCCAGTGTTATCACGAAAGTTGTATTGGGTTTCCTAAGCCTTGGTTGGCTGGAAGACTAATTCCATGAGCATGCACATGAGCCAGAATCATCGGAGGACCAGAGAGTGATCCTAGGGGGAGAGGCAGGTGGGGGTGGGTAGGGTGTGGGGCTCTCAGGCGGTGGGCTGTGAAGTTGTGTGTGGGTATATGCAGTCACGTGCAGAGGGACATGGCATATTCAGTGGCCAGCATGTGCCTGTGTGGACACTGAAGCAGGTGTGTGTGTGTGTGTGTGTGTGTGTGTGTGTGTGTACAGGGGCGCACAGTATATGAGCACCAGACCCTCCACCTGCCTGCACCACTGCAGCCGCCAGCAGCTCGGCGGGTATGATCCCAGCCACTCAATTCGAAATCTGTTCGGAGTTTTATGTCTCTTGGGGCTGCTCTGGGGAATGGGTGTGCGGTTGACTAACCTCAGAGAACAAGAACCCCATTGCAAACAGACTGTACCCGGGGTCTTCAGAAGACACTGGCGGCCAAGCTGCTGGCGGCTGCAGTGGTGCAGGCAGGTGGAGGGTCTGGTGCTCATATACTGTGCGCCCCTGTACACACACACACACACACACACACACACACACACACCTGCTTCAGTGTCCACACAGGCACATGCTGGCCACTGAATATGCCATGTCCCTCTGCACGTGACTGCATATACCCACACACAACTTCACAGCCCACCGCCTGAGAGCCCCACACCCTACCCACCCCCACCTGCCTCTCCCCCTAGGATCACTCTCTGGTCCTCCGATGATTCTGGCTCATGTGCATGCTCATGGAATTAGTCTTCTAGAGGTGGAAGCAGCTTTAAAGGTCACCTGGGTCCCCCTTCTCATTTCATTGGCTTGGAAACAGGGGTTCAGCAAGGGAGCAAGTCACCTGCTCAAGGTCACCTGGAAAGTTAGCGGCTCAGCAAGAATTAGATCCAGGTCTCCTGCCTCCCATCTGAGTACTCACAAGTCAGCACGCGGCTATCAATCTTACGGTCATGTGTGCATGCACACGGGTGCACCCCAGCATATGGAAACACACACATGGAGGGGTGGAGGCACGCACCAGGGTGGCCCCCTCCTGTGCTTTGGCTCCTGCAGAGGCTGTTTTGCCCCTTCCATCACCCCATCCCACAGAGGAAGCTAGCGGATGTGGATAAGCCTTCTTCCTGCCTTCCAAAATTGTGGCTGACGGTTGCTTGGGCAACCGCCTTCCTGATTGGGGAGATTAGCTGAGGAATGTAGCTGGGCTCGTTTGCGCTGAGGCTGGGGGAGCCCGTGGGGGTCTTGGTTGCTTCAGCCCACTTTTTCTGGGCTGTTCTGGCAGAGATGGGGCTCCCAGAGAGGGATCTGGTCACCCTGTCCCCAGCCCAAATGAGACTGTGTCCCGCAGACTCCTCTGGGGGTGATGGGACTTTGTGTGTGTAGACATGAGCGAGTGTGAGTGTGGAGCTCTGTGTGTGTGCTATGCAGCACTCTGGGTGTGAAGGGAGCGTTTGCTTTCTGCATGCAGGATGCACACTGGGGGTACCATCTGACTCTGGACCCCCGGTGGCTCCCTCCTGCTCCCATAGTGTCCCCCGGAGAAGCCATCTGCTCTCCTCATGGTTTATAGGATGCATAGCTTTCTCATCTGAATCTAGACAGCTCTTGCTCAAACACCTACTGTGGCTTCCCAATTCAAAACCAGGCCACATTCTCATCCTCTAGCAGGAGCTGGGACTTGACTTTGGGGCTCTGGCACCTGAGCCATCCAGACTAGAGGTGATGGGGTCTCCCCTAGGGCCTAAGAGGGCTGATTATCCCTCTCCTGGGGTGGAGTTCTTCTTGGGCCCCTGGCTCCAGAGATGTTACCCTGGGGTGGACAAGGGTGAGGGTGAGGGGTCATTCTGGATGGGGAAGGTCCATCTGGGAGGCCTTCCTGGCAGGCAGGCCCCTAGGACAGGGCCCCGCAGGTCTGAGTCATTCCTTGCCACTTGCTCAGGCATTCTCCTGGCCTCAGACTTTGAACTATTCGCGATGGTACCACAAGCACCAAGGTCTAGGCGAGCGTGCAGGGACCAGTTTGCAGTGACTGAGCCAGAGGAGTTTATTAGCTGCCCAACTCAGGGCTTGACGAGCTGCCACGGCCTTTGGCCCTCCTGACGGACCAAAGGACTCACCTCTGTTTCGACCCTCTCTTTCCTCTTCCCCTTCCCTCCATCTAAACTATAAACACTGGTTCCAGATCAGAGGAGTCAGTGCCTGAGGCAGTGGCTGAATCCTGCACCCAGCTGCCAAGGGGGTGTAGTAGCAATTCCGTCCCAGAGACCCCACGCATCAAGGGCTTTAGCGCTGTGCAGGCTTGTAAGCCTAAGGCCAACAGCGGCGATTGCTAGTACTTTGGGGAGTTGCTGTGTGTGGGGTGTCATAGGGCATTCATGATCCCCACTCCCAAGGTCAGTGCTTGTCCTCTCTGAGAAGACAGAGGGGCAGGTAACTGAATACAGACCAGTAGGTAGGTTAGGGGGTGTTGCTGCTAACACCCCTTCTCCCCGCACTGCCACTCGGCGGCTGTATGACTTCTTCATCTGTAAAGTGGGCTGATTCTAATCCTATACGTGGGGGGGGGGCGCAGGTACTGGCCATAAAGATAACTCATTTTCTTGGGAAGGCCTTTCATGGGCGCTGGACCAGTGAGGGTGTCCTGGGGAGTACTGAGCTCACAGGCGGTGTGTGGAGGTCTTGGTGTTGGGAGGGGCAGGGTGGGGAGGGCTGGGGAGCCTGAGGGAGGAAGGTGGGCCTGGGTGGGAGGCGACAGGGGGGCATCTCCTGGGCAGCAGCCCCGCCCTGGCTCACGGACCCTGCCCTCGCAGCCGGCTGCACCTTCGAGGAGGCGAGCGACCCAGCAGTGCCCTGCGAGTACAGCCAGGCCCAGTACGACGACTTCCAGTGGGAGCAGGTGCGGATCCACCCTGGCACCCGGACGCCTGCGGACCTGCCCCACGGTGAGCTGAGTCTCCATCACCACGTCCTGCTGTGTGACCAGGGGCGTGTCTCTAATCTGCTCCTCTGCTTCCGTGTCCGTCACGACAAGTACGACACTGCTAATGTGGGACTGTGGGCCCTGTCCTGTTGTGTCTGGGAGTCGCACTTGTGAATTGGGTGCAGGTCCTAGTAACGAAAGGCCCTGAGAGCAGTCAGCTGAAAGGCGCTGCTATTGTTCCTCTTGCTTAGTTCAGAGTCCACCTCCTCCTTCCAGGCCTTCTAGACCCTCCAACTGTTGGGAGGTCCCCCCGCCCCCCCACCGCCGCCCCACAGCTGCTGAATCCTGGTCTCCTTAGGACTTGAAGGTGCGGCAGGGGCTAGACATGTGTCGAACCTTCCTTCCTCTGCGCCCTTCTTCCTGGAAGTGCTGACTGTCCCCAACTTCTAATGGGGTCTGGCCCTGTTTTGGGACAGGGCACGTTGGCATTGTGACCATTGGGCTGGGAGTCAGCAGAGTCATTTCGAGGCTGCTAGTGGCGTCAAGAACACTGGTTCTAGAATTTGGACACTGGGGTCCAAGCCCAAGTCCTCGCCTTTACCAGCCGTGTGAACTGGGCAAGTCCCTTAACTTCCACGAGCTTCCATTTTCCTGGGTGTGAGGTGGCCAGACTGATTCACTTCATAGGGTTATAAGATGGTACACAGCAGGGGATGGCATGCAGGGGCTCACTGTATGCTCTGTTGTTAATGTTGGGGTGATTTGAAGGAATCTGTTGACTAGAACCCCCTTTGGTTGGTGACACAGTCAACAGGGAATTAAAAGAAGACAGTTGGAGGCCAAATGAGCAGCCTCAATACTGAAAGCTTGTGTCGAAGGACATAGTGTAGTATGAGAACCCCAAGGCCGTGCAGAGGGAGCCCCCATATTGGGCAGCCCACAGACCACCTCCTAGGTTCTACCACAGCAGTGGGCCAGGACCTTTGTCCCCAGCCCGCAGCATGTCTGAGGTTGGACTTGCAGCCATGGGTGTGGGGGTGGAGGCAGCAAAGGTTCTTAGGGTTCAGGCGGCACTTGAGGCACCAGGAAAGAGGCCCCTTCACGTGGCACAGGTGGCTTCTTCTACCTGTTCACCTGGCCTCCTGGAGGCTTCCCTGTCTCCCGCTCTGTGCATTTGCGCACACAGTGTCCTCTAGGGAGCATTCATCCTGACTTGGCTGGGTTCTCAGTGCCTGATTGCCCCCTGTTCTAGAGCGTCAAGTCCGACCATTCTGGCAATCACCTGTCAGGGTGCCCATCGTGGCGAGGACCCTGTGTGGTCCCTCTCCATATCTCTATGGCCCTGCTGGGGCTGGTTCCCAGGTGAATTCACTTCTTACAGCCCTGACCACCTTGTGTGGGCTCTGCCCCCTCCTCCTGCCCCCACGATGAGCAGAGACATGCCCAGGGAGAAAGGGGAGAGAGACACTTAGTATTTAGTGTGAGCCTCCTGCTGCATCTTAGGGGTGCAGTGGTAAACAAGGTGCAGCTGGGCTTTCTCTCTTGTGCTCACAATCTAAGGAAGGGAGATGGGGGTGGAGAGAGAAGGAATGAGAGTCACATTCAGAGGCAGAGCAGGAGAGAGAAGGAAGAGCGACATGAATGAAGTAAGTGGAAGGGAAGTGCGGGGATGCAGAGTGAGAAAGACTAGGGGAAAGGGAGGTGGAGAGGGAGCAGAGGAAGAGGCAAGAACAAAGCGTCAGGTTGAAAGGGGGAGAAAGACAGGCCTGATCACAGGGAGAGGGGAGAGCAGGGCCAAGGAGTGGGCGAGGGGGTGCCCCCTCCTGGTAGGCACCTGGAGTTTGTTTACTGCCCCACTCGGCCTGAGCTGGGACCTGTCTTCACAGGCTTCTGGCTCCGAGGTGAATGAGATCCCCTCTAGCTGCCTCCCTGTGGAGCCTCCCAGAGCAGGAGCCTCCTGGTTTGGGATCTGAATGAGCTTGTGCTGGCTGGCAGCCAGGCCAGGAGAAGGTGGTGCTGGTGGCTGCAGGCATCTCCTTAGCAGCTGCCGGGGCCTCTCCCACAGCAGGGAAGCCAAATTCGCCCAGCCAAGCTCTGAGGAGTCCAGCCAGCTCCCCACCCCCACCCCAACTTCTAGTTCCTGGATCTCGGGGGAGGGGGCAGGGCTGTCTGTCTGCAGGTTGGAAATCCAGAGAATTCTATCCCAGGAATTTATACTTGGCAGTTGGGGTGGAGTGGGGAAGGGTGGAGGGGGGACTGGAAGGGGAATCAGAATCCTTTATTCAATCTCTGTTCTGTAAGTTCATTCAGTTTGGGTTTGGAGCATGTTCTGGGGATGCAGTGGAGCCCCAGGGCTGGTGGGGAGACAGACATGCACTTGATTAATGATTGAGGGCCCACAGAGGGGCAGGGAGGCAGGGCTTCAGAAGGGGGGGGACTTTGAGGGCCTGTCAGGTGCCAGTGTCTTGATTCCTGCGGTGAATGACCGCTCCCACCTTCGAGCACAACTCGGAACCAGGAACCCTGTGGATCGGCCTGGGTAAGGGGCCAGAAAGTGTTTTGAAAAGTCAGATCTACACAGTTTTTGCTACTCCCAACCCACCCTCTGGGAAATAGCGCCAGGAAAGTGAAAGGACTTGCCCAGTGAGCCAGAACTGGAACTTGAATTCAGAACCCCTGACTCCTAGTGTGTCTAAATATCAGGAGGGCTTTGTTTCTGCCCCCACAAGCTCTTCTCAGCTCTTGCCTGTTGCTCTTCTCTTTGCAGGTTCGTACTTGATGGTCAATGCTTCCCAGCATGGCCCAGGTCAGCGGGCCCATATCATCTTCCAGACCCTGAGCGAGAACGACACCCACTGTGTACAGTTCAGTTACTTCCTGTACAGCCGGGATGGGCATAGCCCGGGCACTCTGGGCATCTATGTGCGTGTCAATGGAGGTCCCCTGGGCAGTGCTGTTTGGAATATGACTGGATCCCATGGCCGTCAATGGCACCAGGCTGAGCTGGCTGTCAGCACCTTCTGGCCCAATGAATATCAGGTGGGCTGGGTTCAGTCTGTGGTAAGCCTGTCTTGAGGTAGGGAGTAGGTGGGGGGTGGGAGAGGGGTGTCAGCTAGAGGTCAAAGTAAGCGAGTGACCGAGTGACCGTGATTAGAATGAGTCAGTGTTCAGCATCGGGGTGAGCCTATGGTCAAGGTCAACGACGAGTCTGTGGTTAGTTAGCACTGGGTTATTTTTAGCACTGGGTTATTTAGTCTAGCTTGGCATCAGAGGTCATTGTTAATGGCCTCCATGTAGTCTGGGGTAGTTCAAGGGATCAGGAAGAGTGTTGACTTAGAAGGTGTCTGGGAAAGGATTTTGCTGCTTGAAGGTGGCTGTCCAGGATTCAGATGGAACCTCTGATCTTGACCTTGTTAGCTCAGGGTGACACCCCCTCCCACAGTTAGCTGGCTGGGTAGGGCCATTATGAGCTAGACTGGATAGGGCTGGGAGAGCTGAAAAGCGGCTTTTGTGGGTACCTCCCCAGGCAGGACTGGGGGGACGTCAGCCTGACAGATTCCCTCCTGCCTCCTCCAGGTGCTGTTTGAGGCCCTCATCTCCCCAGACCGCAGGGGCTACATGGGCCTAGATGACATCTTGCTTCATAGCTACCCCTGCGGTGAGTCCCAACTCGCTGGGGCACAAGGAGAGGGGCTTGGGTGGCCATAGTGGCCTCAAGCCCTGTTTACACGTGGCTCTGTTCCTGCAGCAAAGGCCCCACACTTCTCCCGTCTTGGGGACGTGGAGGTCAATGCAGGCCAGAACGCCTCATTCCAGTGCATGGCAGCGGGCAGAGCAGCCGAGGCAGAGCGCTTCCTCCTGCAGGTGAGGGGCACTTCTGGGCTGACTCCCTTGCAGGTGCCTGTCCTTCCTCCATCCTCCATGCCCCTATAGCCAACCACGCCCCCCCCCCCCCCGCTGGGGCTTTCCCTTAGGGTCTGTTCTGAATGGTCCTATACCTCCAGGACAGATGCTAGCTCCAGGACCTCCCAGTCACTCTCCATCAGAGACAGAGCTGCCGCTTGTCTTAATTAAGCACCTTATCCTACATTTTCCTGTGGCAGAGCTGGTTCCAGGAGCCCCATATGCCCCTAAGGGAGAAGGGAGGGCTAAATGGGGCCAGGACATTTATCACTACCCTCAGCCAGGTACAGTGAGACTGGAACTCTCCCTCCGATCCGTGCCCCTTCTCCCCATGCAGAGGCAGAGCGGGGCACTGGTGCCAGCGGCCAGCATACGGCACATCAGCCACCGGCGCTTCCTGGCCACGTTCCCGCTGGCCGCGGTGGGCCCTGAAGAGCAGGACCTGTACCGCTGCGTGTCCCAGGCCCCGCGTGGTGCAGGCGTCTCCAACTTCGCCGAGCTCATTGTCAAGGGTTAGCACACAGAGGCTTGCAGCAGAAGGCGAGAGGGGGGAGCCGGGTCTGCTGCCCCCACCTCCCGCCCCCCCCAAAAAGTCTGGTTGAGGATGTGGGTGTGGAGGTTAGGTGGGGCTGGGTGGGTGGGGGCGTGGTCTGAGGCTCTCTTGGGACCAGGTCTGATGCAGGAGGCCGGGTCTGACCAACAGATGGTTAGGGGGACAGGGTCAAAGTGTGAGCCCGGCCAGGGCACCAGGGTTGACCCCAGCTGGCTAATATTCATTTCCTGGAGGTGCAGATTTGGGGATCTGGAAGGGAGTGGAGGTGTGCTGAGGTGTGAGGGTGGTGTCAGTCATTGCAGCTGGGAACTCCTGGGTGCGTGGGGATTTAATGGGTGCTGGAGAATTGGTCTGGCAGGCTTGAGGGCTTGCAGGCAGCATGGGGCTCTTGGGGTTTGGGTCTGGTGGGATGCAGAGTTGGGGCCAGGGTCTCAGCGCCACCCATCGGTTCCACCTCTCCCCCTTTCACCTCCTAGAGCCCCCCACCCCCATCGCGCCCCCGCAGCTGCTGCGCGCGGGTCCCACCTACCTCATTATCCAGCTCAACACAAACTCCATCATTGGCGACGGGCCGATCGTGCGCAAAGAGATCGAGTACCGCATGGCGCGCGGCCCCTGGGCGGAGGTGCACGCGGTCAGTCTGCAAACCTACAAGCTGTGGCACCTTGACCCTGACACGGAGTACGAGATCAGCGTGCTGCTCACGCGCCCGGGAGATGGGGGCACTGGCCGCCCCGGGCCGCCGCTCATCAGCCGCACCAAGTGCGCAGGTGGGTGCTGGTCTCGCTTCTCTGAAAACCCGGTACAGGGCTCAGGGCAACCGAGGGTCGCGAGGTGGTATGGACTGGATTTGTGCTTCTAGAACTTTGTGAATTTCCCTACAGTAAAAATATAGTAAGGATAGCGAGCACTTACACCTGTGCACACACTTGTTGATTTAAAACTCACACCACCACCAGAATCTTTGTACTGTCCTCACCTTCATTTTATAGGCAGCGTGACTGAGGTGTGAAGGGGTTGGCCTGAGGTCACACAGCTAGTAAGAGGCATTGGAACCATTGACTGACTCCAGAATCGGTGTTCCTAATTTTACATGTTATCATCTAGGTAAAACAAGCAAGTGAAAAACCGGAACATAAAAGCATGTTATTAAGTTCTAGTTGGATTCTCTTGTGTGGGCATCTGAACGTGAGACACCTGCACCACAGGAGATTGTTGTTGTTTTATCAGAAGATAAATTGAGAACAGAACAATTTTCTCATTCTGTGATTTCAGTGTTTTTATTGATTTTTTTATTGCAATAATTGTAGGTTCATAAGCAGTTGTAAGAGAAAAAGATTCCCTGTATCCTTCACCCTGTAGATTTTGCTGGTAACATTTTGCTGAATGTAGTATAATCTCCCAGTGGAGAGACTGCTGCTGGTAGTGTCCACAGGCCCTCTTAGACTTTTCCACTTGTGCTTGCTTGCGTGCATGGGTGTATATTCAGTCCTACAACTTACCTACCACGCAGGTAGGCTCCCGCCTTCACCATCTCAGTCGAGGTAATGAACAGGTCAGTTACCTGATGCCCTCCTGCCTGCTACAGGACACTCACTGTCTCTTCCTCCATCCCCCAACCCCTAATCTGTCCTTCATTCTTAAAACAATGTATTCTCAAAAATATTATGGAAATCATGATACTTTGAAGTCATGATTAATAACCTTTTGGAACTGAGCTTTTAATTTAGTAGCAATTTTATTGAGCTAGAATTCTCATACACTTCACTCATTAGTGCATACCATTCGACGGTTTTTAGTATGTTCCCTGAGGGTTATACAACCACAATCCGTTTTAGAACAGTTTCCTCATCCAAAAGGAAACCTTGTACTTTTTAACAGTCTCCCTCCTCCCGCTCTTCCCTTTCTCGCACTATCAGCCAAGGCAGCTGAGACTATGCTCTCTGTCTCTGTAGATTTGCCTCTGTGGGTATTTCAGAGACATGGAGTCACGCAACAGAAAGCTTTTTTGTGACTCGTTTCTTTCAGTTAGCATGTTTTTTAAGGTTTCCCCGTTTGTAGCGTGTGTTAGGACTTTATTCATTTTCACCATTCTGTATCATGCTTACTATGCTGAGCCTTAGAGGAATACTGGACTTTTTCCAAAGTGGCAGTATCATTTTACATTCCTGTCAGCCGTGGATGAGGGTTCTGATTTCTTGACATCCTTGCTAACACTTTTTGTTAACTGTCTTCTGATTACAACCTCCTAGAGGGTGTGAAATGGTATCTCATTGTGGTTTTCACTAGTATTTCCTTGACGTTTAATGTTTTTACATGTTATGTGGTGATGCTGAACTTTTTTTTTTATGTGTTTATTGGCCATTTGTCTGTCTTCTGTGTATCGAATGCTTTACCCATTTTAAGTTGGGTCACCTGTCTTTTTATTATTGGGTTGCAAGAGTTCTTAATGCATTCTAGATACTAGACCCTTATCAGACACACAGGTATCCTTGCTTTTATTGAGTTTGCTTCATTGTGAATTGCCAATATTGCATTTTTTTTTTTTTTTTTACAAATTGCGGGTTTGTGGCAACCCTGAGTGGAGCAAGTCTGTTGGTTCCAGGTTTCCAAAAGCATGTGCTCCCTTCATGCCTTGCTGTCATATTTAATTAAGGCATGTCCATTGTTTGTCTAGATATAGTGCTGTTGCACACTTCCTAGACTACAGTAGAGCATAAACATACTGTTAGCATACATAACACTATATGCACTGAAAACCAAAAATATTTTATTTCAACATTTGCTCTATTGCTGAGGTCTGGAACCCAAACTACAATATCTCTGATGTATACTTGTCTTTCTAAATATTTTCTTCTGTTTTTGTGGGTTGTCATTTAATTTTTTTGATGGTGTTCTTCAAAAAACAAGTTTTTAATTTTGATGAAACCCAATTTATCTGTTTTTTCTTTGTTGTTTGTGCTTTTGTTGTTATATCTAAGAAACCATTGCCTAATCCAGAGTCATATGAAGATTTACCCTTAATTTTTCCCTAAGACTTTTATACTTTTTTTTTTAAAAGATTTATTTTATTTGTACATACAGAACTGAGGTACAGGCCAGAAGCTCAGGGGTGGTGAGAGGCTTCACCAGAGACAGTGTGGGGAGCAGAACAGGCAGATCAATGAAGTACACTGCTGAGGGGAGCAGTGGGCGGGTCAGGAGAGGTCTGCCACGCCATGTGGTCACCTCCGGGGCAGGCGGGGATCGAACTCATGTGGAAGTGGCCTCAGCTTCTCAGTGCTGTGCTTTAACCCGCTGTGCCACCAGGGAGGGCCAGACTTTTATACTTTTAGTTCTTACAGGTCCTTGGTGTATTTTTAATTAATTTTGTCTGTGGTGTGAGGTTGAGGTCCAACTTCACTCTTCTACATGTGAACAGTCACTTTTCTTGGCCTCATTTTTATAAGGACTCTTCTTTCCCCAGTGAGAATTAGGGGTTCCCTGGAGATTTCATCCAGGTTATGGTGCAGATTAGTAGTTCATTCCTTTCTATTGCTGAGTGTATTTACTTTTGAGTGTCCCATGGTGTGGCTGTACCAATTTTAATCACGCCATGTGTTGAAGGACATATGAACTAGTACTATATTTTGGCTATTGTAAGTGAAGCTGCTATGAATATCTGTGGACAGGCTTTTTTTTTTTTTTAAGATTTATTTATGTATGCATACAGAACTGGGATATAGGCCAGAGGTGCATGGACAGTTAGAGGCTTCACCAGAGACAGAGTGGGGAGCAGAACAGGCAGACTGACAGAGTACACTGCGGAGGGGAGCAGAGGGACAGGACAGGAGAGGTCGCTGTGCCATGTGGGCCATACCCATGGCCGGGGATCGAACTCGCATTGAAGTGGTTGTGCTGGCTAGCAATGCTGCACTGTAACCTGATGTGCCACCAGGGAGGGCTCTATGTACAGATTTTTGTATACATACATTTTCATTTCTCTGTTGTAAATGGCCATGTTGCAGCGGATGGGTTATATGGTAATTATATACTTGGTTTTGTCAGAAGCTGCCAGAATGGCTGTAGAGTTTTGCATTCTTCCCAGCAATGTGTGACTCGTCCAGTTCTCTGCTTCCATGCCAGCTTTTAGTGTCATTTTTTTCTTTCAGCCATTCTGAGAGCTAGTGGTATCCCATTCTGGCCTTAATTTGCATATCCTTAATGCTGAGTGATGTTAAGATTTTTTCATGTGCTATTTGCCATCTGTACGTTCTCTTCTGTGAATTGTTCATGTCTTTGCCCATTTTCTAATGGGATTATTCATTTCCTACGATTGAGTTTTGAGAGTTACTTACACATTGTAGATACTAGTTCTTAACAAAAGACTACCCATACATACCCAACAAAATATGTAGTTTGTAAATATTTTGTCCAGCTTTTAGCTTGTTTTTACCCTCTCTCTGAACCTTTACAGAACAACCATTTTTAATTTTGCAGAAGGCCAATTTACCAAAATTTTCTTTTACAAATTGTGCTTTTTGTGCCAAATTTTAGGATTCTTTGCCTACTCATAGACCCCCAAAGAGTTTTTCCCTAAGTGTTTCAGTTTTACATATAAGTTCATGATCCAGTTTGAGTTATTTTTGGGTAAGTTCTGAGGTTTAGGTTGAAGTTGATTTTTTGTCAATATTTGTTGTTCTTAGTGTGTTTAAAAGTTGATTGGGGAACCATCTAAACCAGTTTAATGCTACATTTGGGGGGATGCTTGTTTAGTGGGTAGGTATGTTCTGGAATGCTTTCTAGTTCAGGGATCTGCATCAGGTTACTTAATCTCCTAGAACTTCAGTCTCCT